TAAACCATCAAAGTTAAAATAATATATACCTAACTGCAAAACCAACTGCCGGTAGCTGTTGCAACACCTGATGCTCCAAAGAATGTTACTTAGTAAAAATACAAAACTGATGCTCTGATTCTTGTTTTGAGAGAAAAAGAATCACCTAAAATGCTTTCAATTCCTGTGACTTCCTAACTTCAAATAAAATTTATAGCTTCAGACACTGATTATGTTACTTCAGTTGCGTATGTCTGAACAGAGGCGTATCTAGGATTTTAATATCAAGAGTGTACTATTATCATTAAAATAGATATTTGGTTCCATTATATAAAATTTTATGGTGACAGCAAGTTGACGGGCAAACTATATTAATACTATATCTGCAAAAAATATCAGTCACTTTACGATTGTCCTCGATGAGTTTTTACACTTTGAAAACGGTCAATAATAGCATCATTACTTACAGTTTAAATATCTCACGCTCTATATAGCAAACTAAACAATCATTCAAAAATTTTTTTAAAAGCGACGCTTAATATTGCGCAGGGAAATTTGCTGCTTTGAGTCCACAGATAGCCTCAGAGCCGAGAGAGATGAGTCATCAGTACTCTGTTTTTAGGGATTTCAAAATTTTTGTACTCAAAAGAATGATTAAGAGAAGAAAAATAAAAAAGACGTAGGCAAAAGGAAATTTAAAAAAAGTAAAAAAAAAAAACGTGTTTGTTCACTAATTGAAAAGAAGAAAGGTGTGTAGGGATTTGTTGTTCCTTGAAAAGGGCATGGAGAATTGGGAGTTTATTTATTAATTAGTATAAATGGAATTAATCAAATAAAATTGTACGTAGATCGAACCCTGATCTTGAGGACAAAAAAGAGATAAGAGGGGCACTTAATCACTACTGCACCATACTAGTCACTTGAGTATGGGTGACAACAAATATATTTACCTACATAATTGAAAAAATTAGTACTTTATACATATCCTAGGGAGGAGAGATGGGTGCATGTACCCCATTCCCCTCCACATAAATCCGTTCCTGCGTCTGAAGTTATGTTCGAAGTGGGTAATATTACAAAATAAATAAATTGAACTTAGGATTCAACTTAAACAGTAACCCCAAAATCAGGCGTTTGTGCAATTTCCCTGCAATGGCTGAAGTATACAAATAGCCCTTAAAGTGGATGGTCTTGAAGTTTTATCCCTGCTTGCCCCATGGGTAGAACTTCAAGTTTAACAAGTGTTATACCTCGCTTTCCCTATGTGCAACACTTTTAATTTTTGATCTTGAAGTTCTATCCATGACTCATGAGGCAAGCGAGAGTCAAAAATTAAAGACCATCCAAAACAAATGTCATATTTATGCAATTTTTGCGAAGAATTAACCCAAATAGCTGCCCACCCAACCGCTTAAATTAAAAATAGCCGATGGAGGTATAATATATGCATAAATTATGTATTATATGCGTATAATTGGGTATAATCAATGTATAAACTATATATATAGGTAGAAAAAGTAAATAATAAATATGAACGGCTATTTGTGTAAATATTCCTTTTTGCAATAGGTACATACTAAAGCCCAAAAGTTATACTTAGGCCCATGACGCCGGATTTTCATTTTCAAAATAAAGAAGAAAATAATTGGGGAGTGTTCAAGCACTCGAGCCAACCTCCGACCCCTCTAGGCTCCTGCTGCTGTTGTCGGTAAACTCCCCTTCCTTCTCCTCCACACGCCCTTATTCTTTCTTACGGCTCTATGTATATACAAAACACACGCATATACAAGTTTCTATACAAATATAGAATCAAGAACTGTTTTTTTTTTAAAAAATGTGCTTGCATTTTTTTTTTGTTCATGTTTCAACATTTTGGGGCCTCAAAAGCTTATGCGGATTCAGGTTTTTAAGTTGGTAGATACTGAATAACGTTGATGGAAAAAAGAAAGAAAGAAAGACATAAAAGATAAAGAGTACCACTAGACCTGCGGCTACTTTGTGTGTGTGTGTGTGTACAGCCAATAGCTGATGTAACTGTCTTCAACTTCTTTATCTACTTGAGAGCTGACTGTTGTACGGGTTTCTTCAACGAAGTGTAACATATTATATGACTTAGTAAATAGCCCTTTATCCCAATTTCGCGAACGGTGTTCAAAATTTAATATACACATATAAAAAATATTTTTTTGACCTATATACACAATATAAGTTTCTATATACACAGTATACTTTTTCGATGAACGATATTCGGCTGACCACCCTTCAATGCTTGTGCCTACGCCACTGCTCTCAGAGGCCAGCTCGTTGTAACCCTAGAAAACGGGTTTTTTTTTTTTTGGGGTGGAGGTGGGGGGTGGGGAGCTATACAACATCCGCCTGCCTTAGTAATGCTAATACCTCATCTTTGGTGATAATACTATTACTAACTGGAAATGGATTAAGGAGTCTTCTTGCATCTTTGACAGCTGAGCTCCTTTTATTCATTTACAATTTTGTTTGCTTTGGAGTATTGGTTATATGATATGTATTAGTGTCTATGAATTTGAAATAGTTTTGTTGACAGAAAAAGCAACCATTAGATTATATAGTGTGACTATGGGGGAGGATAATCACGTTCTAACAATGATATCTCACTGCTCTACAAGGAGAGAAAATTCTTAAGAGCAACAAATTAAGTATAAGTCTAACTTTAGAGAAACGATGTTAATTCCCTTGTTCCTCAATTTTCACAAAAAAAGTTGATATAAGCCAAGGACTTGCCCTTGTTTTTTTGTTCCCTTCTTTTGTTAGTTGTTAATGTATTCTCTTTTGTGTGGAGGTGCTTTCTCCCGTACCATTGGATATTCTTGAGCAATTGAGAAGAAACATTGCATTCTAGAGACCTAATCATATTAAGTCGTGATAGGATGATGATGTATAGGAGTTGCATTATATTTTATGCTCCATTACTAAGTCGGGCACTCTGTGGTGTAACGCGATTGAAGATGATTTGGTCAGTGATTCTTGAAAATTAAACCTGTCTCTGAAGTTAAAATACTACCTCCCACAGAAATAAGTGTCCTCTATTATGTATTTTACTTCCTAATGAAAAAGCATTATGGTATGCTTACATTAACCTAGTATTCCCTAGGAGCTTAATGATCAAGGGCTTTTACAGAAATGAATCAACTCTCAAATGCCTTCTCATGGCTGAATTTGGGTGTCGCAGATACCCGGGACGATACAGAAACTCATGGGGAAACTGAGACGGTAAATGGAGGAGGTAACAATGGGGGCAGAATTTGTATTTAAATGCCTGCGAGAGCAGAATTTGTATCTAAATGCCTGCGTAATTCTAAGCTTTCTAGATCAATAGCTATGCTGAACTTATTAGTCGAATAAATGAATGGTCAATATTAAAAGTTGGAGATATGTAGCTGATCCTTGCAAGAAAATGACAATTTTTGAACTCTTCAGATAAAGCCAAGGAAAAAGATGATAGCTCAGGAGAGGTGACAGCACTCAAAAATGAAAATGGGGTTCAGAGGTCACCTTTGCTTCCAGGAGAGTACAAATTTCCGCTTGTATGGATTGACCTTGAGATGACTGGTAAGTATTAATTCATGACTCGTTGGAATTGGCCTGGTTCTTAAAGATGATGTACTAAAGGACATCAATAGACGTACTTTATTTTCCAACGACTTATGACATCAAGTACATTCAGTATGATTTTAGAGCATTCTATAATCTCTCATGTTTGCAATCCTATGTTGATTGTGTTGTCTTGAGCCGTTGATACTACCAGAGTCTTTTTAAAGGATGGTTACAAATGAATGTTGAATATTTCCCCTCCTCAAACTTTGCATTTTGTGTCTTATGCCAGAGAGGCCTCCTGAGTATCATCATCCCTAATGAACTAACTGCTCCCAATCATTGATCCAAAGAAGAAACTCTGAGCTTCTTTTTCTCCTGTTTTCCAGAGGCTGTTTCAAATTTGAGTCTTGAAAACAAAGCAGTATTGCACATCTCCAAAAGTGCTGTTGGAGATGAAATTTTGATAGTATTATTTTCTTTTGACATTTCCTTTCTACGTAGGTTTGAATATTGAGGTTGACAGGATATTGGAGATTGCCTGTGTGATTACAGATGGAAATTTGACCAAATCAATTGAGGTAAAATTGCCTGTCTTTTCTAATGTATTCTACATTTCTATTCTAGTTTAGCATGTTGTTAACATCATCACGGGGGAGTTGTCTATAGTAATGTGTATGGTACATATCACCATAATGCTAACTGGCAGACTGCTTTGCATGGCATTGGTAATATCCTTACTTCCAGAATCAAAAAAAGAATCATTCGGGGCATTAAATAGCTTGTATCCATAGAACATCTGGCATGACATAGATAATGAATAAATAGGAGTTAATATCATTCCAATTGCCATTACAAAAGTAATTATAGTATTTTTGAAATTAAAAGATATTTTTGGCCGGTATTTTTTTTTTTTTTTGAGATGGATTTTTTGCCGGTAATTATTCCATCCGCAATATACAGAACTTACTCCACCTTATCTGTCATTAGAATTTTGCCGTGCTGGATCTCTTCCTTGTGCATCTATACATCTCGTCAATACATCCCGTGCTTCTACTAACAGGAGTTTATTATGTGCTTTCAAAATTAGGGTCCTGATTTGGTTATACATCAAAGCAAGGAGTATCTGGACAATATGGGAGAATGGTGTCAAAGCCATCATGCAACAAGTGGTAAGTGGCTTAATGTGTACTTTGCTCTAGGTTATAAGTTGTCTCATCTGGAATGCAACTAGCATGTCACCATAATAGATTACATTTTTTTTTGTTGTAATGTTAGTTCAAAGATGAAACTTAATGTAATTTAGGTTTTACTCAGGAGGTGCTCAAGAGTACCATCACCGAAGAAGAAGCCGAGACACAGGTATCCTATTCCTTTTTGGCTTTAGTATGCTTATGTCATGAACATTATTTCTGTTTTCAGACTTGAGGATCATATGTAATAGAGTAAGCAGCAAACAATAACTGTCTTGAAGTTTTGCTTCCTCTGTTTACAGGTTTTAAGTATAATTTTATATGCTATGTTATTTTGTACCTTCAATCTCAAAATTAGGCACACAAGTTCCTATTTATAGCTTCTTTGATTGTTTCAAGAATCTGTTACTTGGAGATGTTAACTTTGCATAGCATTTTGAGGTAGAGGTACATCCCAACACATGGAAAATGGCCTTGTGATGAATGGCATTCATCCGAAAAGGCAAAAGATATAACTTCATATTTCTTTAAGAGCTGTAACCGGCATTAATATCTTCCATTTCCTCTTCCCTTTTTCTTCTTTTCTTAATCTGTTCTAATTTTTCCCTTTTGGTGTATATTTTTTACCATTTATTGCTATGCTTTCAATATTGCTGCCATGATAGAGCAGCGTGCAATTCTGGTTGAAAGAACCCACAGATTTCCATATATGTGTGCTAGAGGTTTCTACAAGTTGGTCCGTCAGATTAATATTCCTTTTTGTTCCCCTTGCTTTGTGTAGGTTGCTGAGTTTGTCAAGAGAAACATAAGGACGTATACACCACTACTCGCAGGAAATTCAGTCTATACGGATCTTCTGTTTTTGAAGGTATGGTGATTGGTGTGTGTATGTCTAAACATGTAAACATCATTTTGAGGAATCTCATCTACAAGTAGATGTATGTGATTATTTTGTAATTTTACTACAGTCAACTTTATAGCCTTTCAAAGTTCAGGCTTGTAAAGTAGTTAGTTATTAACTGTTGTCATTCTAATTAATTCATTGCAGAAGTTTATGCCAAAATTGGCAAGTTTGTTTTCACATGTACTTGTTGATGTCAGCAGCATAAAGGCATTGTGTCTTCGTTGGTATCCACGAGTGAGGTTTATCTGGTATATTCGATGTATTCATCGGGTCGGTGGGGGAGGATTAAATCTTTGTTTCTCAATTCTAATGAGAAATAGGCTCTCTACCTTCTCAGGGTAAGGATAAGGTCTGCGTATTGTTCTAATGAATGGGAGCCTTGGAGCAACGGTAAAGTTGTCTCCGGGTGACCTATAGGTCACGGGTTCGAGCCGTGGAAGCAACCATTAATGTTTGCATTAGGGTAGGCTGTCTACATCACACCTCTTGAGGTGCGGCCCTTCCCCTGACCCTGCGTGAACGCAAAATGCCTTGTGTACCGGGCTGTCCTTTTTTTTCTTTTTTTTTGTTCTCAATTATGATTTCAGTATCAGTATTTGATGCTTTGATATAATAGGCTCGATTTCTCACTGTTGCATGGTGTGCTGTTTTTTTTAAGACAACAGAAAGGCTCCTCAAAAGAAAAACAAGCACAGAGCTATGGATGACATTAAGGAGAGCATAGCCGAACTCAAATACTACAAGGAACACATATTCAAAGCCTCCAAGTCCAAAAAGTGATAGTGAAGGAGATTTGTATCTCATGGTTGAGGATTCTTTTCATCTGATTCCCAAAATGAGGGGTTGTCTGCCGGTGGAAAGTGATACGAGCATTTAAATGTATCGTCTTTTTGTCTAAGTTATGAGCGTTTGGCAAACTGATTTCCTTGTACCTTCACATCCTTGGCTATCATATATAATTGGATTTAATTTATGTACACTGATCGTGTAAAAAACATTTACGTTATCAGGCAGGCTATAGAAGTATTTTGACTTATTATAGCAGGTTACCTGCCTTATTTTCCAGGTTTGATCGGGAAGTTCTTTTGCGTTGATAGTGTATAAAAGTACAACAACAACAACAAACCCAGTGCAATCCCACAAGTGGGGTTTGAGGATGGTATTGTCTACGCAGACCTTACTCTTACCTTGTGAAGATAGAGAGTTTGTTTCCGATAGATCATCGGCTTAAGAACAGACAGTGTATAAAAGTTAAACTCTTGTAATTTGGGGGGTTTTCTATTTCAACTAACAAGCATTCCATATGAAAGCTTATTTATTCATCCATTTGTTTGTGTTTTCCTGCTTGGTGAGAACCAATGGTAAGAGGTATTATGTTGTATGCTAGTTGACAGCAGACGAACTCAGACCAACTAGTTGTAATGATCATATTCTTGAATTTGGAATGAAAAGAAGAAATAATAGTTTCTTGCATAGGATAAAGAATAATAACAACAACAACCCAGTAAAATTTCACAAGTGGAGTCTGGGTATGGTGTGTACGCAGACCTTATCCTTACCTAGAGGGAGTAAAGAGGCTGTTTTCGATAGACCCTCGGCTCAAGAAAACGAGAAGAGATATGGGATAAAGAATAAGACTCATAAATAAAATAGCAGTTATAAAAACGATTCAACATTAAATAAATTAGAACATGGAAGAGATTCATCAAGAAAAATATCTAATTCTATTATAATAGAAGCATATCAAGTGCAAGTGATCAGCTAAACACACATTTCCATTCTCACACCTACTTTATCTAGTTCTCAAACGAAATATAGAACACAACAGCACTGGAAATTGATAGAATTTTTTTAGTATATTATTTTGAAGTTATGAGGGTTTTGTCACTTGAAAACATAGATGTATAATTCAAAGAAAGAAAAAGAAAGAAAAAAAGATGTTAATTAAAACCATTATCGAGGTGGATCTAGTAAAGAAGTTACGGGTTTATCCGAACCCAATAACTTTGATTTAGACCAGTATATATCTTAAAAATTCTACTAAATAAGTATACGATAACAACTATGCTTCAGTCCCAAATAAATTACGGCGGATAACATGAATCCTTATTTAAAATGATAAAATTTGAACCGAGTAAATTAGACAAAATATAGTAGATATTCGAATTGAAACCCATAAAATTTAAATTCTTAATTTCCTAAGGACAGAGAGTCAAATCGGGCATAAATACACACGAAGGATGGATCATATATAAGAGTAGGTTCTTTTAATCCAAATTTTATTCATTAAACTAAAATGGACCATATTTACACAACTCCTATTAGAGGAGACAAAATATAAAGAGTGCGCTTAACAAAAAAGGCTATTTTTGCAATTCAAACCCAGGACTACAGTATATTGTTTTACAGAGGGACAATCACACTCCTCAGAGGCCAGAAGTTTTTCTTTGAAGGAGGTGGTCGATGTGGTGCTGATAATATCTGGAGGGTCAGGTGGTTTTGGAGGGGTAATGATTCGTTGTTGGGCGATGTGGCGGTGACTAGCTTCATGGTGGTGAAGTTGATGCTAAAGATGAAAGAGGGTGTTTTTTAGAGAGAAGTTGGAGAGTTTCTCTTTCTAGGAAAGACCCCTAGTTCCGTATAACTTATTTTTCTATACTCTTATCGTACTCTCTAAGAAATATTTTGTGCTTTTCACCATGCATTAAGTTATAGTTAATTATTATATGAATTGTAATTTTCTAACTTCAAAAGTCGTTTAGCATGTTTGCCTATTATGTTCCTAAAACTTTCTAACATCAGTTGAATTACTGCACCAACACAGTCACATGAAATTTTGGAGACTTTATAATATTCTGAAAGATCAAGGTTCTGCCTCACTTAAGTATTGTAACGACCCGACCGATCGTTTTGGATATTACAGCCCAGTTTTCCTATTTACTGCTTATCTTGTGTTCAATTATAATAATGTGACTTGTCGGGGAGATTTCAGAATGAAATGAAACACTTAGTTCCAAGATTTAAAGCTTAAGTTGAAAAGTTGACTTATGTGTAAACGACCCCGAGAATAGTGTTTTGATGATTTCAATAGCTCTGTATGGTAATTTTGGACTTAGGAGCGTGTCCGAAAAATTATTTGGAAGTCCGAAATTCAATTAGGTTTGAAGTGACTAAAATAGAAATTTAAGTTTGAAAGTTTGATCGGGGAGTTGACTTTTTGATATCGGGGTCGGAATCCAGTTCTGAAAATTTTCATAGGTGCGTCATGCCATTTTATGACTTGTGTGCAAAATTTGAGGTCAATCGGAATTGATTTGGTAGGTTTTGGCATCGACTGTGTCACGGCCCAAAATCTTAACCTGTCGTGATGACGCCTAACGTGGTACTAGGCAAGCCGATTTCTCACAAATATTTCCAACACTTTTAACAAGAATGAATTTAAAGCAGTTTTAGTAGTAAAATTTCTCATAACCGGGATAGAAAACCCAAAACATAATGCGGAATTCCCAACTATCGGGGTGTAACAGAGTACATGAGCATCTATACTTCACAGTTTTGGAAAACACGGTCTATAATAGTCTGAGACCAAATACAGTAATCAAGAAGATAAGGAAGGAGAAACAAGATCTGCGAAACACCGACAACTACCTCGGAATCTCCGAATAATCAATTGTGCGAAGAAATCAACACCCACTGTGTCCGAAAATACCTGGATCTGCACACGAAGTGTAGGGTGTAGTATGGGTACAACCAACTCAGAAAGTAACAATACTAAATAAAGAACTGAAAGTAGTGACGAGCTTCACAACTAAGTCCAATTACAGTAATTTCTAGCGTAAGAAAGTAGGCATGCTAGCAAGTTTAACATTTAAGGCCCAATCAGTAATTTCATATCAAGTTCAACTGAAACAGGAGGTAATATCTCTGAGAAATTTCCAACATAGTGATATATGATAACCGTAGTGCAATAAAAATGAAATCAAATGCATCCTCTCAGGACCACTGTCACTCAACCCATTCCATTCACTCAGCACTCAACACTCGTACTCAGTAGGTACCTGCGCTCATTAGGGGTGTGTACAGACTCCGAAGGGGCTCCTTTAGCCCAAGCGCTATAATCTGCACGGACAACTCACGTGCTGTACGGATAACTCACGTGCTATAGTATCAATATCTGGATCCGCACGGACAACTCACGTGCTATAGTATAATATCTGGATCCTCACGAACAACTCACGTGCTATAGTATAATATCTAGATCCGCACGAACAACTCACATGCTATAGTATAATATCTAGGTCCACAAGGACAACTCACGTGCTACACGGACAACTCACGTGCTATAGTATAATATCTCACAATCAGGTCCTCGGCCTCACTCAATCATAAATCTGTTCTATCTCTCGGGCTCTCAATAATCATGAAAATCAGCCCAAACAACAATGATATAATGCATCAATAATGAACAATAGAGACTGAGATAAAATAAACAGGTAAATTGTGACTGAGTATAAAACAATAATTTAGGAGATAATTCAACATGTACACGGCCTCTATAGGTCCCTACAGTGCCAACACATAATCTAAACATGATTTGTGGTTCAATTTCTCTACTACATGGAGAATGTACAGATAACAAAAGATTATTCAACTATATAGTTCCATGAAATTTGACCAAGTCACAATTCCAATGGTGCATGCCCACACGCCTGTCACCTAGCTTGTGCGTCACCTCAAAACCGATCATATAATACATAATCCGGGGTTTCATACCCCCAGGACCAAATTTAGAACTGTTACTTACCTCAATCCGAGAAATTCTTTATTCCAATAAGCCTTTGCCTCGCGAATCGGCCTCCGAACGCCTCGAATCTAGTCACAATTAATTCGATTCAATCAATTCAAATTATAGGAATTAATTCCATATGAAAATACTAATTTTCCACTAAAATTTAAAATTGCACTAAAAAATGCCCATGCGGCCCACGTCTCGAAACCCAACAAAAATTATAAACTATGAATGTGCATCCAACCACAAGTCCAACCATACAAATTTTACCAAATTCGGACATCTACTCGACCCTCAAATCTTCCATTAAAGTCTTTGAAGATTTCTACCATTTTCAACCGAATCTTTACCTATTTGAACTCAACAATCTTTTCACAAACCTTATTGGTACATGTATATATAAATAATACTCTTACACTCAAGAATCATACTCCCAATCACCCATCTTTACCCAAACTCAAAATTGAAGACTAGGGTTAGAAATACTTACCTCTTTGAAGCCCTAGCAAGATCCTTGTGAAATCTTCAAACCTTGAACAAGAATTGATGGACAAATGGCTAGCTCTTCACTTTTTCTCTCTAAGATGCTCTCACCTCTCTCTAAAATATCAGATGAAACCATTCAAAATGACCCCTAATAGTATTTTATAAGAATGGGGTCGGGTTTATAAAACCAAAAAAATGAAGCCCCGAAACACCCTCTGCGGTCGCATACGCGACCGCATAATGCTCCTGCGGACCGCATAATGGGTCGCAAAAAGGCCCTCCGGAACTGGGCAACACTGTTTCAGTATGCGGCCGTTATGCGGTCCGCAGACCTATTCTTCTATCGCATAATGCGCCGCAGACCTTCCTCCAAACTTGCCCCACTTCTGATTTACTCTGCGGCCATTATGCGGTAGCCTAGTTCGGCACATGAAACCTTAATTTCCTTAGCAAATATTTTCCGGGGTCGTTACATATAAGTCAATATCCGGTCATCCTTTTCAACTTAAGTTCTAAACCTTGGAACTAAGTGTTTCAAATCATTCCAAAACCTTACTGGACCCGAACTAATTACCCCATCAAGTCAAATAACAACCGAAAAGCATAATTTGAGTAGTAAATGGGGATACGGGGTTGTAATACTCGAAACGACTGGTCGGGTCGTTACATTCTCCCCATATTAAACAAACCTTCATCTTCGAACGGGTTTAGAATTATACATGGAGTCTCAAATAGGTGTGGATATTTGCTCCGCATCTCCCGCTCAGTCTCCCAAGTAGCTTCTCCGACTGGCTGGCCTCTCCACTGCACTTTCACTGAAGTTATGTTCTTTGATCTCAACTTTCGAACATGCCGGTCTAAAATGGCCACTGTCTCCACATTATAAGTCAAATTACAATCCAACTGCACTGTGCTGAAATCCAAAACATGATACGGATCCCCGACATACTTCCGGAGCATAGATACATGAAACACTGGATGGACACTCGATAGACTAGGCGGCAATGCAAGTTCATAAGCCACCTCTCCAATCTTCTTAAGCACCTCAAACGGCCCAATATGCCGAGGACTCAACTTGCCCTTCTTCCCGAATCCCAACACACCCTTCAGGGGCGAAATCTTGAGTAGAACCTTCTTCCCAACCATGTAAGCAACATCACGGACCTTCCGTTCGGCATAACTCTTCTATCTAGACTGCGCCATGCGAAGCCGCTCCTGAATCAATTTAACCTTCTCCAAAGTATCCTAAACCAAATCAGTACCCAATAGCCTAGTCTCACCCGGCTCAAACCAACCCACAGGATACCGACACCGTCTCCCATACAAAGCCTCATACGGAGCCATCTGAATGCTCGATTGGTAGCTGTTATTGTAAGCAAACTCCGCGAGTGGCAGAAATTGATCCCAAGAACCTCCAAAATCTATAACACAAGCGCGTAGCATATCTTCCAATATATGAATAGTGCGCTCGGAATGTCCGTCCTTTAAGGGTAAAATGCTGCACTCAGCTAAACCTGTGTACCTAATTCTCGCTGTACTACCCTCCAAAATTGTGATGTAAACTGCGTACCCCGATCTGAAATGATGGAGACTGACATACCGTGCAGGCAAACAATCTTGCAGATATAAATCTCAGCCAACCGCTCCGAAGAATAAATAGTACCAACTGGAATAAAATGTGCGGACTTGGTTAACCGATCTACAATTACCCAAACAATATCAAACTTCCTCAAAGTCCGTGGGAGCCCAACTACGAAGTCCATGGTAATACACTCCCACTTCCACTTCGGAATTTTAAGTCTCTGAAGTAATTCACCAGGTCTCTGATGTTCGTACTTCACCTGTTGACAATTTAAACACCGAGCTACAAACTTAACTATATCTTTCTTCATTCGCCTCCACTAATAACGCTGCCTCAAATCGTGATACATCTTCGCGGTACCTGGATGAATGGAGTACCGCAAACTGTGAGCCTCCTGGAGAATCAACTCACGCAAACCATCTATATTAGGCACACATAGCCTGCCCTATATCCGTAATACACCGTTATGGTCACCATTTAAATATCGTGTTGCAAGTGTATTTTTTAAATTATACATCTGTTTGATTAAAAAAGAAGTTGTATAAGCTATGTATCATATTTGTATCTCTTATGTATCACCTATGTATCATATTTGTATCATCTATGTATCTCTTATGTATCACCTATGTATCTCTGTGTATCGGCTCTTACTCATGTCTGTATTTGTATAATAACAAAGCTAACTAATGGAAAATAGTCGTAGCAGCTAGAAAACTGTGTAAATAGTTTTAGAAATTTGCAAATAAGAGTGTGGCTTCATCAATACATATTTTGAAACCAAATAAACTGCAGAACTCGTTGTGAAGAGACTAACTGTGCAACAATCCAAAACGACTGTATCATCTATGTATCATGTGTGTATCATATATGTATCATGCATGAATCTGGAAGAGACAGTGTATCATAAACTACCGTATATTTCTCATATCTTGAATTCACAACACAAAATCAAGGGAGAAAATACCAAAATAAACTAAATTGCAACACTCCAATATTGCAATAAAACTCATTAAACCTTTATAATAGAGCATACATCTCATTTTTCGTACAAATCTTAAAAGTATTCATAAAATTCAAACACGAACAAATCTGATTCGTCTTACAACAATGACAACATAACAGAACACAATACAAAACAAAATTATTGAGTTCATCCTACAACAATGACAAAAGTAACTACTTCTTCCGCTTCCGCGACTTATTCTGTCGACCAATAATCTCATCATCACTTTGCGCGTTCAGTTCCATCTTCTTTCTAGCATAATTCCACAAGAGAGCACCAAATCTGCGTCGGTGTGCATAGGCATTGAATTTTTTAGGAGGCGTCTTGCCCTCAATGAAATACTCGGCAAATGATGCCGCAAATACAAATCAACAATTCACAATTTCATTAGATACACTTGTCAATAGGATTGAATGAGAGAAAACTTAGGAAGTAGCATGTATGTTGTTGTACTGAGTATAGAGTCGAATGAATTTCTCAGCACTTACAAATTGTATGTCAGAAATCCAAGGAATGTAAGTGATCTGCACATTTGAGTCCTAGAATCTATTCTCTTTCTGAAGATTGCCTATTTTCAGAGTCAGATTGTCTGACCTCTTCAATCATTTTAACAACTTCCTCCATGTTGGGTTGCATGTCCACGACCTTTGCAACACATGCCATAGCAATTTGCAGCATCTGTACCATCTCCTCTTCAATGTTTTGAAATCTCATCAAATCGACGTCAAAAACCTCTGATGTCCATTCCTCCTTAAGAACTGACTGGACCCACCTAGGAAGGTCAACCATGTCATCGCGCCCCGGTGATTGCATTGGCTGCTTTCCAGTAAGCATCTCAAGTAGTAAGACACCGAAGCTGTAGACATCTGATTTATGACTATGCTTTCGGGAAACACCATTCTTCTTGACCGTAAATGAGAATTTGTATTTCTTGAATATTTGCCTTAATAAACTTGAATTTGATTGTTTTAAATTGTATTTTCTCTTTTGTGGAGCGGGCCGAACGCCTCGACATGTTAAATAGATGCATCTATGGTTCGCGCCCTTCGACCCTCGGCAGTGCACGGTTTAAATATTATGTTGGATCAGGCCGTACGACCTCGACATGATTTGCGCTTGATATATTTTTTTTGAATTTATAATAATTGATATTGCTTTCATTGGCCCGAGATACAAAATGTTAAATGACGAAAATAAATTTGGAAATTCCTTAGTAACAAAAGAATTCTTTACTTATTTCATGATATTGAGCTTACAGCCGTTCTACGTAATCCATGCTAAATTATATCATTGGTATTCTATTTATGGCCCATAGTAAGTGTCGGAGCTGACCCCTCGTCACTACTTCTTCGAGGTTAGGCGGGATACTTACTGGATACACGTTGATTTACGTACTCATACTACACTTGATGTACATTTTTGTGGAGGTGCATATATGTCTAGTGACCTTGTGGGCGCAGATGCACGGTTATTGCGGGGACTTAGGTGAGCTTCATTCCACGTTACGAGTCCGCAACCAGCAGAGTCTCCTTCAGAATATTTATATTTTCTCCTGTTCGAATTTACATTCTGGACATATGTTGTATTTTATTTTGCATTTCTAGTTGAGGCTCATGCACTTGTGACACTGGGTTTTGGGGTGATTTGGGTTGTCCTGTATTGAAATTGTTGTAAAATATTATTTTTTACATTGTAGATTCCATCTTTTATTGTTTAATTGAAGAAAAATATGATTTCTAAAATATTAAAAATGAGAACCATTAAGTATTTATTTTTGGCTTGCCTGGCAGTGGTATTCGACGCCATCACGACATTTAATGGATTTTGGGTAGTGACAGTGACACAACATTTCAAAATCATAAAATATAGGTCTCAAGCCACTTTCATATTTCCACGGCACCTCGTGCCAATTTCTTAATCACAACCGCACGGACAACTCACGTGCCAAATATCATCATCATCATTTATTCACGGCACCTCGTGCCCACATTTCATATCACAACTGCACGGACAAGTCACGTGCCAATATCATCATTATTTACTCACGACACTTCGTTCCCATATTTCATATCACAACTGCATGGACATTTCACGTGCCAATATCATCATTATTTACTCACGGCACCTAGTGCCCACAATTCATTTCATAATCTGCCTGGCAATAACCACAGACTCCCAATTTCAACATAGATCATACTATTATCAATTTACCAACAACAAGATAAATTGCACAAGGTATAAAAATAAATACAAGAAAGATCACAACATCACATGAAAATTACCAACGCAATAATCCCACACTATCACATATCATCCCTGACAATAGTCACCCTTATCTTTCCTATAGCCACCCTTATCACTCATATAATAGCCTCCCTTTATCAATAGCCACCCTTATTGCTCCTATTGCCACTCTTATCGCTCCTATAGCCACCCTTATTGTTCCGCCTAGACAGTATTCCAACAAACACAACAACAGTGAAATGCCACCCTTATACCCACATAATATCAACGGTGAAATGCCACCCTTATCTCCCCAAAATAATAACTCACACAACACAATAATTTACACGGAATATTATCACGACAACATAACAAAATCAATTCATATAAAAAATTGCCCAATGTCCACAACCAATTCCAAAGATATAAAAAAATTAATTAATTTCACAATAAATAGCCCAAGGCTCCACACAATGTGTATAAAATCTCAAAACAACAACAGAGATGGAAAATACTTAGTATAGGGCAACGCCTTCATTAATCTAAATTCTTGATAGTTATATAACGCCTCAGTTTAAACTTATTTCATTAATTATTTACAGATGAAAAATCTATAGTATAATTATTTTCAGAAAATATCAAATCACCAAACTCACAGAATTCACATAAATATACAAGCAATAACCACATCAAATTGTCATATAAAAACAAATTCAACAAACGCGAATTGAGGCATGGCAAATAGATGATTTAATAAATGCCAACAATTATCCAATTTACTACATAATATGCCTAAGACTTTATGTCACGTCCCAATTTCCCCTCCGTGTGACGTCATGACGGCACCTAGTCTCTACAACTAGGTAAGCCTAACATTTTGCGGAATAATGAATTAAAAATATAAATTTAACCAACTATTCAAAAATACACAACAAATCCCCCGGAACGTCGTGAATCACAAACTACAGAAGGAAAAATATAGTGTCTCTATACGTCAGAGTCTAACGAGAAAAAATACAGAAGATGATGGACATGAGAAAGAGTAGAAGGGGACTCCGAGGTCTACGGACGCGGCAGATATACCTTGAAATCTCCAAAGCAGTCCCGGCTCACTGATAGTGCAGCTGATAAGGTGCACCTGGATCTGCACATGAAAAAAATATATGCAAAGAGTAGCATGAGTACACCACAATCGGTACCCAGTAAGTGCCAAGCCTAACCTCGATCGAGTAGTGACGAGGTCAGGTCAGGGCCCTACTGGTAAATATATTATAAAACAATATAGAGTGTAATACCGCAATAAAATAAAGGCTGAAATTTAACAATAATGAAATCATAGAAGGTAACAACTCAGTATACAGAAACACAACAGGGGATCTCCCGAGATACCGTCTCGTAGTCCCAAACGTAAATAAGCAGGGCGATCTCTCGGAATATCATTCCGTAGTCCCAAAGTAAATGTGCATGGGGATCTCCCGGAATATCGTTCTGTAGTCCCAAAGTAAATGTGCAGGGGGATCTCCCGGAATACCATTCCGTAGTCCCAAAGTAAATATGCAGGGGGATCTCCCGGAATACCGTTCCGTAGTCCCAAAGTAAATACGCAAGATAGGGGGATCTCCCGGAATACCGTTCTGTAGTCCCAAAGTAAATATGCAGCGCGAATGATAGAAATACAACTATATCACAAAATTCTTAAAATTTAGACTAAGTACCAGTCAGGGAAGAAGTAGGAAATTCACTAAGCATGCTGCACATAATTCACATAAATAATTAAGACACGTAGACATGTTGTATTAGACTAAACATGATAGCTACACATATTGGAATAACTCAATTAAGAATGAAAATAGATTAGTATTCACTAAAATGGTATAACTCAAAATAACAGAAACACATGTTGCTGCTCGGTAAGAAAATCGGGTTTTACCACAACTAGCCCGTGTACGTACTCGTCACCTCACGTACACGGCGCTCATATAGCACAATAGTTCCAAATCTTAAGGGGATTTCCCCCACGCAAAGTTAGGCAAGCCACTTACCTCGAACCAAGCTCAATCAATCAGTCAAAATGCCTTTCCCATGAATATCCGGCTCCGAATGTCCCAAATCTATCCAAAAGCAATTACATATCATAAATACAACAATAATAGACTCATCTAATTAACGAAATCAACATTTTAACGAAAATTCCGAAATTAACTCAAAATCACCAGTGGGGACCATGTCTCAGAATCGGGTAAAAGTCACAAAATCCAAAAGCGTATTCACTCACGAGTCTAACCATATCAATTTTACTAAAATCCGACACCAAATGGTCCTCCAAATCCACAATTCAAACTCCCAAATCCCTAGCCTCCAACTTCCAATTTCCACCTTAAATACACACTAACTAGGTGGGACAATACATGGGGAAGCATGATTATTGATAAAAAATAAGCACAAGGGACTTACCCGAAGAAATCCCTCGAAAATTTCTCAAAACTCGCCCTAAATCGAGTTGCAAAGTCCAAAAATGACAAAAATCGCGAAGCCCTTCGGTTTTAACCACTGCCCAGGTATTTCCGCACCTGCGGAGCCTGGGCTCGCACCTGCGGGTGCGCTTGTGCGGCAAAATGTGCGCATCTGCGCAAATCACTTACCCCCCTCTACCTTCACACCTGCGATGAAACGGCCGCATCTGCGCGTGCGCGCCTGCGGAATTCCCTTCCTCTTCTGCGGACCTTGCGCACCTGCGAAGACCCCTAACGTATCTGCGGGCATCGCAGATGCGGAAATCACCTAGTACCTGCGACCCCTGGAACTCCTCCATTTTCACGCTTCTGCTCCAATTTGCTCGCACCTGCGGGCAGCCTTGCGCAGGTGCGATTAGAGCAGAACCAGCAAAAGCATCAGATTTTCCTAAGTTCAATTTCATTCCGTTAAGCATCCGAAACACACCCGACGCCCTCGGGACCTCAACCAAACCTACCAACCAATCCTATAACACCATACGAACTTAGTTGAGCCTTCAAATAACATCGAACAACACCAAAAATCATGAATTAAGCACAGATTCAAGCCTAAGAACTTAAAATTTTCCAAATTCTACAAACGACGCCAAACCACATCAAATCTAGTCCGAATTACCTCAAATTTTACACACAGGTCACAAATGACACTACGAACCTACAACCACTTTCAAAAATCCATTCCGAGCTCGATATCAAAATTTCCACTATCGTCCGAAATCGCCAAAAATCTAACTTTCGCCAATTCAAGCCTAAATTTACTACAGACCTCCAAAACATATTCCGGACACGCTCCTAAGCTCAAAATTACTCAACGGAGCTAACGGAGTTGACAGAATTCCTTTCCGAATCCGTCTTCACACAGTTCCGACTACAGTCCAAATTCTAAGACTTAAACTCTCATTTAGGAACTAAGTGTCCCAAAACACCCCGAAACTCAAAACCAAGAATCCTGGCAAGTCACAATAGCAGAAATAGATATGGGGAAAGCAGTTAATAGGAGTTTGGGACTCTAACTCTCAAAACAACCGGCCAGGTCGTTACACTTTAACCCAATCAATTTTGCACATATAAGTCCGAGTACGTACTCGTCACCTCGCGTACACAGCTTTTCACATTTCACAAATGGTACATAAGACTCGATGCCTAAGGGGTAATTCCCCCACTCAAGGTTAGGTAAGATACTTACTTTTCTTTTTAAGTTAGGCCGATATTCCAAAATTGCCTTCTTGCTTGAATTAACCTCCGGACAGCTCAAATCTATCCAAATTAATTCAATTCAGTCAATACTAATTATAGGAATTAATTCCATATGAAAATACTAATTTTTCAACAAAAATTCGAAATTTAACTCAAGAATCGCCTGTGGGGGCTACATTTCGGAATCCGATGAAACTCATAAAATCCGACAACCCATTCAATTTCGAGTCCACCAATACCAATATTATCAAATTCCAATAACAACTCGACCTCCAAATCTAAAATTTTCGTTCTTGAAAAGTTTTGCAAAAATCTTGATTTCTTCCATCTAAATTCGAAATAAATGATGGATATAACCGTGGATTTATGAAATATAATTACTTTTGGATATAGGACACTTACCCAAGTCGAAGTCGTGAAGAAATCCTCAAAATCGCCCAAGAACCGTGCTCCAAAAATTCAAGATGAAATGAAGGAAATGACTATTTTTGGTCTTTAAGTTTCTGCCCATCCGTCACTAAAAGCCCATTTTCTGTCACTAAAAATCCATTGTTCATCACTAAAAGTTCACACCAGAACTTACTTGCACCTGCAGTTATTATTTTCACTAAAAAGGCTCTAACTCCATCATACAAACTCGGAATTTGACGATTCTTGTTCCTATAATTCACAAATAATAATACAAGCCTAGTTGTTCAATTGGAACACAATTCAGAGCTCATTTTCTTAATGCGATACCAATTTCGCTTGTTAAACAATTAACTCATGTTTCGCGCTAAAAACCCAATAGCGACTTGATGAAATTAGACCAAACTTTTCAGATCACTCCTATAATTTATTATCAAAATCTCGGAAGTCTCGAAATCAAATTTCGATCTCTAGAACTAAAAATGGACCTTTGGATCATTACATGCTTATGCTAAAAACATCAAACTCTTCCAAAACTCTTCCCCGACAGCCTGTAGTGTATCAACCATAACTTCTTGTACTCAATTCCAACTATCAAACAATTTAAATTTCTGCAAACTAAACACTAAGGGCTACAACTTTCATGTTTCTCTCACCGCCCAACTACTTATAGATTGCGAGATATAAGCTCCCAAAGTCAGCCCTATGCAGCAAAAATTTCTGGCGATGCACACTGCTGTAGCCAAAATCTGCAGTACCAGCTTCAGTTAATTGATGATAACATTTTGTACAAATATATAAATGATGAATGGTTTATCATTATAGAAACTAGAATCAAAGATCTACAACTTTCATGTTTTGAAAATGTCCATATTCCTTATAAATTTTGAGATATAAGCTTCCAAAGTCAACATTACGCATCAGAAATTTCGCACATTGCTGTCAAAAAACCCAGTAGTTAAAAATGATCCGAAACCACTCCAAAACTCGCCTGAGGCCCTCGGGAACTCAACACAATATACCAACAAATCCTAAAATATCATACAAACTTAGTTGAAACCTCAAATCACATAAAATAACGCTAAAATCACGAATCATATCCCAATTAAGCTTAAGGAACTTAAGAATTTCCAACTTCTACATTCGATGCCGAAATCTATCAAATCAATTCCGATTGACCTCAAATTTTGCACACAAGTCATAAATGACATAACGAATCTATGAAAATTTTCATAACTAGATTTCGGCTCCGATATCAAAAAGTCAACTCCCCGGTCAAACTTCCCAAAAGTTCAACTTTCGCCATTTCAAGCAAAATTTCACTATGGACTTTCAAAATATTTTACGGACGCGCTCCTAAGTCTAAAATTACCATACAGAGCTATTGAATTCATCAAAACTCCATTTCGTTGTTGTTTACACATAATTTACTATCGGATCAATTATTTCAACTTAAGCTTCCTAAACAAGAATTTTTCTTTCAATTAAATCCTGAATAATCCAAAAATCAAACTTGACCACCCTCGCAAGTCATAATACACATTTCAAAGCTGCTCGAGACCTTAAGCTACCGAACGAAACGTAAATTCTTAAAACGATAAGTCGGGTCATTACAACAACATAACATTATATTTTTTTAATTATCCACCATATTGATGGAAGTTTTGACCATCAAAGTAAAAAAGTATATATTTCAAGGCATATTTAATGAATATTGTTTCCTTTTTTATTCTTCACCTGCTAGGCTCCTTAATTTTTTAGATATTAATAAACTTTAGTGGCTTAGAATTGTAACGACCCGATAGGACGTATTGAGTTTTACCTTCCCATTTCATGATTTGAGACTTTATATAACTTTATTCGATTATTTATGACTTGCGTGCATGATCCGTTTTGATTCTCAGAAAGTTTAAATGTGATTTTTCAAAGAAAACTTGATATTTGAGCTTTGAAATTATTATAGTTAATTAGGGTCAATATTATTAGTAAATGACATTGGATTGGTATTTTGACAATTCAGGTAGGTTGGTATGATGATTTTGGACTAATACGCGTGTTTGTTGGGATACCGGGGGGTCCGAGGTCGTTTCGGCGCTTATTGTAAAAGATTAAAAATTTGAAGTTATGAACTTTGAAATCTTTGAGTTTTGATTCTTGATCGTAGATTTTATTTTGATGTTTTGAGCTTACGAGCGAGTTCGTATGATGTTATTATACTTGTATGGATGTTTGGATTGGGGCCCAAGAGGCTCAGGCGAGTTTTGGATTGGTTTAAGATTGATTTTTATAGAGTTGTGCATTGTTGGTGCTGTAGACATCGCAATTGCGATGGTCTGTTTGCAAATGCGAGACTCTTGTTTGCAATTGTGACATCTGCAACATGGATAAAGTTTGGAATTTCGAGATCTAGCTCATTTTATTCTATCTTTGCGACCTAGACTACACTTAGAGGCGATTTTAGAGAGTAATTTCTTCCTAACTTCATAGGTTAGTAACTTTAACTTGTTTTTGATAAATTTCTATTACTTTTCATAGATTTTTCATCTCTACATCTAAGATGTCATAGAGTAGAAATATGGATTTTAGCTAAAAATTTAGAATTTTATATTTTAGAACTTTAGACCTCGATTTTGATTCGAATTTTACACATTCTTATGTTTCTTCATATTTTGCATTGCACTTGAGTATGCCTTGAAATCTCTTGTTGTTGGATATGGTGTATTTTGAGATTATTATTGGTATGGATTGGTTGTCCCTGTATCATGCTATCTTGGATTGTTACCTAAAACTGTGGCCTTAGCTATGCCGGGTTGCCTAGATTGGAGTGGAGATGGGCCCTTGGCCATTCCACGAGTAGGGTGATATCATTTTTGAAAGCTCATCGTATGGTTGAGAAGGGATATTTAGCATATTTGACTTACATTTGAGATTCTGGTGTGAAGGTTCTTTCTATGGATTCAGTGCCAGTGGTGAATGAGTTCCTAGAGGTGTTTCTTATAGATTTACTGGGCAATGTCGCCCGATAGGGATATTGAATTTTGCGTTGACTTGATTTTGGGAACCTGTTTTTATTTCACCATACTGTATGACTCTAGCTGAGTTAGTAGCAGTTGCAGGATTTTCTTGATAAGGGGTTTTAGACTGAGTGTTTCTCCTTGGGTTGTGCCGACATTATTTATGGAGAAGAAACTGGTATTATTTGTGGAGAAGATGGATGGTTCTATGAGGATGTGTATTGACTATCGACAGTTTAACCAGGTTGCTTTTATGGGCAAGTATCCATTGCCTCACATTTATGATTTATTTAATCAGCTTTTGGGAACAAAGGTGTTTTCCAAGATTCAATTGTGATCGGGCTATCATCAGGTGAAAATTAGGGCCTCGGATGTCTCTAAGACAACTTTTAGGACTCGCTATGGTCATTACGAGTTCTTGATGATGTCATTTGGTTTGACTAACGCTCCAGCGACTTACATGGATTTGATAAACCGAGTCATTATTTTGGATTCATTCGTGATTGTATTCATTGCTAATATTCTGGTTTACTCTCATCGTGTAGAGGCGCATGCGCAATATCTGTGGACTGTGCTTCAGACTTTCAAGGATCATCAGCTTTATGCCAAGTTTTCGAAGTGTGAGTCCTGGTTAGACTCAGTTGCCTTCTTGGGTCATGTTGTGTCTAGTGAAATATCAAGGTTGATCCTAAGAAGATTGAGACAGTTCAAAATTGGCCTAGACCTACTTCAGCTATTGATATATGGAGTTTCTTGCATTTGGCGGGATACTACCGTCCCTTTATGAAGGGATTTTCATCTATTGGAGCCTCATTGACCAAGTTGACGCAAAAGGGTGCTCCTTTCAGATGGTTCGACGAGTGTGAGGAGAGCTATATGAAGCTCAAGATTACTTTGACTATGGCTCCAGTATTGGTGTTGCCCACAGGTTCAGAGCCTTATGTTGTATATTGTTATGTTTCGCGCGCTGGATTTGGTGTTGTTTTGATTCAAGGAGGTAGGGTGATTGGCTATGCGTCTCGTTAGTTGAAGATCCATGAGAATAACTATCTTGTGCGTGATTTGGAGTTGTTAGCTAATGTGCACGCCCTCATAATTTGGAGGCACTACTTATACATCATGTTATGTGAGGTTTACACTCATCATTAGAGTCTCCAACATTTTATGGTCATGACCCAATTTCCCCTCCGTGTGACGTCGTGATGGCACCTAGTCTCTGTGACTAGGTAAGCCTAACATTTGCGGAATAAGGAAATAAAAACATAAATTCAACGACTAACTATAGCAATAGCACCATAACTGAATACCATGCCGCTTGGCATGTACATTAACCAACTCCTTAGTATACTACATTGCATTCCCAAATTTTGGAATATCGTGAATCACAAACTATAGAAGGAGAATCTAGTGTCTCGATACATCAGAGTCTATCAAAAGAAAATACAGAAAATAATGGACATGGGGGAGATTAGAAGGGGACTCCGAGATCTGCGGACGCGGCAGATATACCCTGAAGTCTCCAAAGCTGTCCCGGCTCACTAATAGTGCGGCTGATAAGGAGTACCTGGACCTGCACATGAAAAAACATGTGCAGAAGAGTAGCATGAGTACACCATAATCGGTGCCCAGTAAGTGCCAAGCCTAACCTCGGTCGAGTAGTGACGAGGTCATGTCAGGGCCCTACTGGTATATAGATAATAACACAAGATAAAATGAAATGCCACAGTAAAATTAAGACTGAAATTTAACAAGAATGAAATCATAGAAGACAACAGCTCAGTAGACAGAGATAACAACAGGGAATCTCCCGAGATACCGTCTCGTAGTCCCAAACATAAATGTGCAGGGGGATCTCCTGGAATACCGTTCTGTAGTCCCAAAGTAAATATGCAAGACAAGGGGATCTCCCGAAATACCGTTCCGTAGTCCCAAAGTAAATATGCAGTACAGGGGGATCTTCCGGAATACCGTTCCATAGTTCCAATGTAAATATGCAGTACAGAGGGATCTCCCGGAATACTGTTCCGTAGTCCGAAAGTAAATATGCAGTACAGAGGGATCTCCCGGAATACTGTTCCGTAGTCCGAAAGTAAATATGCAGCTAAACGATAGAATTCAATAGTCACGGCATGAAATTCTACAGTTCAACCTAAGTACCAGTTAAGGAAAGACAGGTAAATTCACTAAACATGCTGCACGTAGTTCAAGTAAAGAGTTAAGGCAAGTAGGCATGCTATTCTAGTCTAGCCGGATACCACACATGCTGATGGAACTCAAATAAGAAGGAAATCAGGTTATTACTTAGTAGAAAAATCGGGTTTTTACACAATTAGCCCGTGTACGTACTCGTCACCTCACGTACACGGCGCTCATATATCAAAAACAGTACAAATCCTACGGGGAGTTCCCCCACACAAAGTTAGGCAATCCACTTACCTCGAACCAAGCTCAATCAATCGGTCAAAATTCCTTTCCCACGAATATCCGGTTCCGAATGGCCTAAATCTAGCCAAAAATAATTACATATCATAAATACAACCACAATAGACTCATTTAATTAACAAAATCAATACTTTAATAAAAATTCCAAAATTCACCCTAAAAAATCAACCCGGGCCCACGTATAGGAATTGGGTAAAAGTCATAAAATACGAACACTCATTCACTCACGAGTTCACTCGTACCAATATTATCCAAATCCGATGTCTAAATCCCGATCAAAACTCAGAAATTCGGTTAGGGAACTTTTCCCCAATTTTCCCAACTTTTCAATCAAAAATCCGAAATTAAATGGAGGAAACAACTATAGATTAATGAAATACAATCAAAATTAAGTTAGGAATCGTTACCCCAAAGCTCTCTTTGAAAATCCCTCGAAAAATCGCCAATTCCCGAGCTCAAAATGTTGAAAATGAGAAAACATCATGAACCCTTGCATTGAAGTGTTCTGTCGAGACATCTCGCACCTGCGGACTCTCTGTCGCACTTGCGACTATCGCAGGTGCGGAAATGCATCGCACCTGCGACTCCCCTTCGCACCTGTGCCCAGCTGCCCGCATTTGCGACTCTCGCAGGTGCGGGAAAATCTTCGCACTTGCGGTTCCTGCCCATCTCCTTCTTGGCCGCATCTGCGGTTCCTCCTTCGCTTTTGCGGGCTCGCACCTGTAGTTCCCATGCCGCAGTTGCGGTTACATCAGTAGTAACAACACTTCAGCATAAAATTCCTAACTCCAATCAAGCCGCTAACCACCCGAAATCACCTCGAGGCCCCTCGGGACCTCAAACAAATATACCAACAAGTCCTATAACCCGATATGAACTTAGTCGAATCCTCAAACCACATCAAACAATGCTAAAAATCATAAATCATCCTTTGATTCAAACTTAAAGAACTTGAAACTCCAAATTCGACATCCGATGCCGAAAACAACCAACCCACATCCGATTGACCCCAAATTTTGCACACAAGTCATATTCAACATAACAGACCTACTCCAACTTCTAGAATTGGAAACCGACCCCGATATCAAAATTTTCACTGCCGGTCAAAATCTCCAAAAATTCGACTTTCGCCATTTCAATCCTAAATGAGCTACAGAGCTCTAAAACACAATCCGGTCACGCCTCTAAGTCCAAAATCATCCAACGGAGCTAACGGAACCGACAGAACTCTATTCCGGAGTCGTCTTCACATAGTTTCAACTACAGTTCAAAACTTAAGGCTTAACCCTCCATTTAGAGACTAAAGCTTAACCCTCCATTTAGAGACTAAGTGTCCCAAAACATTCCAAAAACCAAAACAAACTCTCCCGGCAAGTCACAATAGTAGAAATAGATATGGGAGAAACAATTAGCCAAAACTCACACTTCAAAAATTTTGCATATAACTTCTTTTCTCTTAAGGTCTGAAGCGCAGTACTCAGGTTCTGCTCATGATCCTCCCGACTCCGGGAGTACACCAGAATATTGTCAATAAATACAATGACGAATGAGTCAAGATAAGGCTGGAACACACTGTGCAAATAATGCCGCCAAATCTTCAACTGATGATAACCTGAACGCAAGTCAATCTTGGGTCATATAGTATCGAGTGAGGGGATCCAGGTGGATCTGAAGAAAATTGAAGTAGTGCAGAGTTGGCCCAGATCGTCCTCAGCTACATAGATCCGAAGTTTTCTTGCTTTGGCGGGGTATTACCGTCGATTTGTAGAAAGTATCTCGGGAAATTCCCCTGTTGTTATCTCTGTCTACTGAGCTGTTGTCTTTTATGATTTCTTTCTTTTTAAATTTCAGTCTTTATTTTGCTGCGGTATTTTATTTTATCTTGTGTTATTATCTATATACCAGTAGGGCTCTGACCCGACCTCGTCACTACTCAACTGAGGTTAGGCTTGGCACTTACTGGGTACTAATTGTGGTGTACTCATGCTACTCTTCTGTACATGTTTTTTGTGTGCAGATCCAGGTACTCCTTATCAGCCGCACTATCAGTGAGCTGGGACAGCTTTGGAGACTTCAAGGTATATTTGTCGCGTTCGCAGACCTCGGAGTTCCCTTCTACTCTTCCGCATGTCTATTGTTTTCTGTATTTTCTTTTGATAGACTCTGATGTATCGAGACACTAGATTCTCCTTCTGTAGTTTGTGATTCATGATGTTCTGGGTTTTGGGAATGCTTTGTAGTATACTAAGGAGTTGGTTATTGTACATGCCAAGCGGCATGGTATTCAGTTATGGTGTTATTGCTACAGTTAGTTGTTGAATTTATGTTTTCATTTCCTTACTCCGCAAATATTAGGCTTACCTAGTCACAGAGACTAGGTGTCATCACGACGTCACACGGAAAGAAAATTGGGTCGTGACAAGTTGATATCATAGCTGAAATCTAACACATAAGACAGATCGCCGTGATACCTCCGGAGCATCGAAATATGAAATACCGGATGAACGTCTGCTAGACTGGGAGGTAAGGTAAGCTCATAAGCAACCTCCCCAACACGCCGCAACACCTCGAAATGACTAATGAACCTTGGGCTCAGCTTGCCCTTCTTTCTGAACCTCATAATGCCCTTCATGGGCAAAACCCGGAGAAAGACCCGCTCTCCAACCATGAATGCAACATCGCGAACCTTCAGATACACAAAACTCTTTTTTCTGGACTGGGCTGTGCGAAGTATATCCTGTATCACCTTAACCTTCTCCAAGGCATCCTGAACCAAGTCCGTACCCAATAACCTGGCATACCACCTTGTCACGACCCAATTTCCCCTCCGTGTGACGTCGTGACGGCACTTAGTCTCTGTGATTAGGTAAGCCTAACATTTGCGGAATAATGAAATGAAAACATAAATTCAACAACTAACTGTAGCAATAACACCATAACTGAATACCATGCCACTTGGCATGTACAATAACCAACTCCTTAGTATACTACACAACATTCGCAAAACCCGAAACATCGTGAATCATAAACTACAAAAGGAAAATCTAGTGTCTCTATAAATCAGAATCTATCAAAAGAAAATACAGAAAATAATGGACATGCGGAAGAGTAGAAGGGAACTCCGAGGTCTGCGGACGCGACAAATATACCTTGAAGTCTTCAAAGCTGTCCCAGCTCACTGATAGTGCGGCTGATAAGGATTACCTGGATCTGCACACGAAAAACATGTGCAGAAGAGTAGCATGAGTACACCACAATTAGTACCCAGTAAGTGCCAAGCCTAACCTCAGTTGAGTAGTGACGAGGTCGGGTCAGAGCCCTACTGTTATATAGATAATAACACAAGATAAAATGAAATACCGCAGCAAAATAAAGACTGAAATTTAAAAAGAAAGAAATCATAGAAGACAACAACTCAGTAGACAGAGATAACAATAGGGAATCTCCCGAGATACCGTCTCGTAGTCACAAACGTAAATATGCAAGGGGATCTCCTGAAATACCATTCCATAGTCCCAAAGTAAATATGCAAGACAGGGGGATCTCCCGGAATACCGTTCCGTAGTCCCAAAGTAAATATGCAGTACAGGGGATCTCCCGGAATACCGTTCTGTAGTTCTAAAGTAAATATGTAGTACATGGGGATCTCCCGGAATACCATTCCTTAGTCCCAAAGTAAATATGCAGCTAAACAAGAGAATTCAATAGTCATAGCACGAAATTCTATAGTTTAACCTAAGTACCAGTTAAGGAAAGACAGGTAAATTCACTAAACATGCTGCACGTAATTCAAGTAAACAGTTAAGGCAAGTAGACATGCTATTCTAATCTAGCAGGATACTACACATGCTGATGAAACTCAAATAAGAAAGAAATCAGGTTATTACTTAGTAGAAAGATCAGGTTTTTACACAATTAGCCCGTGTACATACTCGTCAACTCATGTACATGATACTCATATATCAAAAAACACTACGAATCCTACGGGGAGTTCCCCCCCACAAAGTTAGACAAGCCACTTACCTCGAACCAAGCTCAATCAATCGGTCAAAATGCCTTTCCCACGAATATCCGGTTCCGAATGGCCCAAATCTAGCCATAAATAATTATATATCATAAATACAACCTTAATAGACTCATCTAATTAATGAAATCAATACTTTAATAAAAATTCTGAAATTAGCCCTAAAAAGTCGACTTGGGCCCACGTCTCGGAATCGGGTAAAAGTCACAAAATACGAACACCCATTCACTCACTAGTTCACTCATACTGAAATTATCCAAATCCGATGTCTAAATCCCAATCAAAACTCAGAAATTTGGTTAGGGAACTTTTCCCCCATTTTCCCAACTTTTCAATCAAAAATCCAAAATTAAATGGAGGAAACAACTATAGATTAATGAAATACAACCAAAAATTAGTTAGAAATCGTTACCCCAAAGCTCTCTCTGAAAATCCCTGAGCTCAAAATGTTGAAAATGAGCAAAAAGCGCGAACCCTTGCATTTAAGTGTTCTGTCCAGACATCTCGCACCTGCGGACTTTCTGTCACGACCCGAAATTTCCCACAGACGGGACCGTGATGACGCCTAATATTTCACTTGCTAGGCAAGCCAACGTTAGAGAATCATTAACCAATTCCTTATTTCCATTTAGTAATTAACAATAATTAACTAAGATGAAATAGAATAAGTGCGGAATATCATAAAACTGTATTAATTACTACCACCCGGATCTGGAGTCGCAATTCACGAGCATTCTAGAATTTACTACAAGTAATAGTATGAAAGAAATACAACTGTATGAATGAAAGAAACAATAGAACAAAAAAGATAGACGGGGACTTCAAGGTATGTGAACGCCGACAGATCTACCTTGAGTCTCCGGACAGCGGACCAATAGCAAAATCTCGATCAACCCGAGCCGGTATCAAAATATGCACAGAAAGTGCAGAGTGCAGCATCAGTACAACCGATCCCATGTACTGGTAAGTGTTGAGTCTAACCTCGACGAAGTAGTGACGAGGCTAAGGCAAGGCACCTACAATCAACCTGTACAATNATTAACACTCACAATATGGTACGGCATCACCCTGCGTGCATTAATACTCACAATACGGCACAGCATCACCCTTCATGCATTAACACTCTCCCTTACCATAATGCAATGCATAAATAACAATAGGGAGAGAGAATAACAAGTACAAACCTTACTTCAACATTTGGTTCCATAATATCAATCTTAACTTTGAAATAAAAACTCAATTATCACCAGAAAATTCCGTAAACATGATAAGAACGATAATTTGAACAACACTAGTATAACACGTAGCAATTTGGCATAGGAATGAGGCAATATCAGAAAAATAGAGAAACATGGAAAAACAGGTAAATTTGTGGCGCATAGGTACTCGTTACCTCACATATATGCCGCTCACATGAATTTCACTTAGCAAATAATCTAAGGTTCCTAATTCTCTCAAGTCAGGGTTAGACACAACACTTACCTTGCTCCGAAGGCCACTTAATTCTCAATCACAGCTTTTCCTTTGGAATTCACCTCCAAACCACTCGTATTTATTAAAAAATGACTAAATAATATCAAATATTACTAAAGGAATCAATTATATTGCATAAATTAAATTTCCCAAATTTACCTCCAAAAAGTCAAAAAATTGACCCCGCGCCCGCTTGGTCAAAACCCAAGGTTCGGACCAAAAT